TTCAAATAATGTCGGACCCTGATCCTACATATATATTATTATAAAAAGGTTTTGTTATTGTTATCTTGGGTATAAGGATACGTGTGAATTATTTATAAAAATAAACCGAAATAAAACAGAGTAAAATTTTGCACGTTGACATCTCGTGGTGTTGCCAGTTATTATTATTATTATTATAAATTTTATTATTATTATTTATAGAACCAACCAGTTCCTTCAAAATAATATCTTAATACGAACAACAAATTATTGGGTAAAATAATACTGAACATGAACACGTACCTACATGAAACAGAGGTCAAATGAAACTGAACTTGACAGCTTGGAAACATTACGGATAAAAGGCACATAATATTTCGCACGAAGGGAAGGGATGTAATAAGCGACCTACTTATTTATAAGTGTATACATACATTATTGTACGACGAGAGGTAAAGTACCTGTTCCTATCAAAATGAGGCAGTTATGTGTTTCGTTTATTTGACAGCGATTGTTTGTGACGAACCAAACAGTGTTAGTTACGAGAGTAACGGTTACTTGAGGCTTCGATGGCAAGATAAAGAAAAAGTAATTATTTATTTCTTTGTCTTAAGTAGTGCCTTCATATTCAATTGTACTTTTATCTAACTTTATTTCTGATGTTTTATTTGATGTTACGATGTAAAAGTACCTAAGTTTCCTAAATAAGAACTATTTAGGCTAGTGCATTTCGATTGCATATACCTAAGGCTCATAGGCTGTTACAATTAGTTTTTAGTTTTTGCTTTGCTCTCCACTATAAAAATATTAAAAGTTTATTACCAACACAACTCAGCATTTCTGTTGAAATACGTGAGCTGTTGAGCTCGTTCCGTATTTTCTCGGACTGCGATCTGCAATTCATCGACACAGCGGCTCCAGTCGGGAGACACCCTGCCCCAACACGTAGGCTCCTTCAAGAATTCTGCACAAAAGTAATTATAACTTACAAATAAATTATTTTCAATAGAAATACATTCATCACCAAGCAAAGGATCGTATTTTGATTGAGAAAAAATATCTCATATATGTTCACAAAAAACGTATTGAAAATGAATATCGACTTTTAACTGACGAACTCTGAAAACGAATGATCAATCAACTTTCAGTTCAATTGTAGCTGCAAAGTTTTATTTATTTTCAACAAGCGACTTTTTGACGTCATCGTATCTCGATGATGGATCGCGTAGAATGGAATAAACTTTAGGGTAACTGTTCACGGGGTCATTTGACGAATGCATGCGTCCTGTACAAACAATATGCGGCCTGCAAATGACAAATGCTTGCATCTTGCTTAAAAACAGTGAAAACTGTTCACGAAGCGGCAACGCTAAATCCACTTATCGTTTTTGACGAATGCATGTATTCGTTAAATGACGCACCGTGGACTACACAAACGATATATTTATAAATATAACACCTACGAATAAAAGAGAATGGAATGTGTCCCTGATCAATTTCCAATTATTGTAACTGCAGCCGGAGGCACCTTTTAATTAAATATAAGTGTTCCCAATCATGTCAGTAATCCCTTTTGATTGTGGATTTGCACTTTATCTTTTTATTCGAACTTAAATCCTCATTGATAGCTTGTTTAATAAGGTTGAATATTTTTCGGTTTATTCTTAGTAATTTCCATTTATAGAGCTCTTTGTTTTTAGGTCGTTTTATCGTTACCTAGATAGATTCAATGTCGAGAAATGTCTGTACTATATTTTTACTTGTATAACAAAGAAAAACACCGCTTGCTAGAACGATTACCTGGAAAGTGCTTTCATGTATTTTAGGTAGGTGTTTTTGTGCCTTAGCCTGATCTTGATAAAATAAGGAAAAGGTAACTACAATTTATTTCACTTCTTTATATTAATAGGGTTTGTCATAATTTCTACGCTTGCTTTATACTCCTAACCGAAGCACCATAGATAGTTAATTCTTACGACACCTATGGGAAGACACGGGGTGGTAACGAATGGCTACGTGGCTTTTGAGTAATGGTTAAATATACATGCATAGTACATGACGATACTAACCTCTCCGTAAAGCCGTATCGTTTGTGCACAAAAACCGCATGAGTGCGCGAGCTCCACCAATCTGTTGCTGTAGTAACTTCTGCCCATCAGTGGGCAGGCACCGTTTGATCCACGCGTCCATGCATACCATGCCGGTTTGATATGCCCTGGAAAAGAAACAAAGGTCTAAAGTATCCACATCTATCTATATATGCACATATAATAAAATCGAAGGAAAGCCCAAAGAGTACATTGAATATTTTTTAAAGGAATACTTGAGGCGTGATCTACAGTCGATATCGAAAACAATAATATAGTTTTCAGAATTTTTGTCTGTTTGTCTGTATGTGTGTCCGGGCTAAACTCAAAAAGTACTGCATGGATTTCCTTCAGATTTTGCATGAATGGACGAAGTCGCGGATACAGCTAGTTAAATAAATATACCTAAGAAAGTGTAAAGAAATTCTTAACATCTTCCCATCAACCAAATATACAAAGATTACGAAGTTTAATTTACTATAACAAGTTAGTTAATCTAAAAATATCGTCTGCGTCTTCATATACCGTTCCTATTAGACTTTTATTTATATTTATGAGAAAGCAATAACTGAGATCAACATAAAATACATAAGAAATAACAAAAGAGAAATTACAAAACAAAACTTGGTTGTTTGTTGTCATCGAAGGGTTATACAATACTTATACATGTACTTACAAATAATTGGGTAACTTCTTAGACCAGGATTCGTAAAATTACGTCTTGTTCGGTAAGTTTAATGTATGGTAACTTTTAGCTAAGTGAAACATGGCTGTAATACAGACAGACGCTTGGGAACACTTGTGGAGAGAATGATAAACGATTCTCAAATAAAAGTTGTAATTTAACGGGCGTTTGTCATTTAACTCCAGAGCTATGTGAGAACAGATTTTGCGTGTTTCTGAAGGTGATGTCAATTTGATAATAAAAATATTACGTCTAATTTTACGTAACCCAAAGTAGGGTTGTTTGAAATTAAGATCGTTTACAGAAGCCTAATGTTTTAATCAGCTTATATTTGCGAATTTGCTCCATAAATCGTGCAAATGATAATAAACGTATCTCTGAAAAGGAGGAAATACGTAGTACTTATTAATAATTTTAAACACAGAGTTGTAACGTAAATATCTTTCCTTAAAGTTACAATTACAAGTGATAAGGACCGGAATGTTTATTGTCAATTAGAGCCGTAAATAGTTTCGCATAATCCCAAAGGTAGCATTTACGAAACATTAGAGGGGGCTAAAAGACTTAATTGTTGGTCCCCAAGAAAATTGCAAACCCGAGCGATGTGCGTAACTTTTGGACATACCTATGTAACTCGTAAAGAGATTGATGACGAGGTTGAAGTATCAGGATGTTTGTAAGATATTAAATGTTCTTCAAAATATGTAAATTTGACTTACTACGACACAACTACCACAGAGAAAAATAAAGGGAAGATAAAAAAATTAAGTTCAGGTTTTATCATGTCAAATTACTTTCTCTAGGCATAGGGAAACAGATAAAGTCCTACATATTAACATGTAAGAAAAACTTACAGGCTGCCTTAGCAAAGATTATTATAATAGAACAAATTCTTTACCTTCTAGTGCCTATGGCGTGAAGAGTATATATCTGAATATTTCGTGCTCAATGAAAACAATGCTACAAAAAAGAAGATAATTTCTTTCGTTACGGACATTATATATTGGGGAATGACACAAAATGTAATATTACATTAAAGCCGCGGCCTAATTCTCAGACAGCCGTCATGAATGTAACAAATGGTACGTATCAGTCGGATAGACGCGATTTTTGTATAAATGTACGTCTTGTTCAAACAATGTCAATGCACCTTTTTCCTCGAAGAAGCCTATAAAGGTTTCTAAACAAGCAATTTTTCTTTTCCTATTATGTAGGTACTGTGAGAGTGTCAGACTCTTACTGACTAAAAACCACCCCGTTCCTACTCCTTTACTTTGAGCCGGAGCCCCGGCAATCCGTTAAGCCTACCGCGGCTCCGTATCGGCATCAGCCCTGTTGGGCCCCATCTGTGATGGTCTGGCCACGCACTAATCTGGCGCGGCAGCGGAGTTTCGCCCCAGAGTTACGTAGGTAGGTACTGGCTGGATGCACTTTTGGAAACTTATTGCGCCGCCATCTCGGCCATACGCGGTTATAAAAAAAATTGGCAAAGGGAGGGTTTTTTACGTCCTCATTATTTTATTTGTTACAAGGGAAGCTAGATAATATTTAACAATTATTGTTATATTTTTTAATTTATGGTTGATGGTGGTACCTTAAGTCTTTGACTGCCGACAGAAAACTGTTGAAGGTAAATCCTCCGCTATCGTGGCCCATACCTTGTCCCCCACGGCGTTCAAGGTGTTAAGTGCCGTCATTCCGGTTAATTATTATAGGTACACTAATCCTGCGCGAGGGTTACCAATTTGACCAAGAGTCGAGTTTCCTTAAGCTTGGATCCGGTCATTACTCTAGGGACGCAATGAAAGACACTGTTCGATCTTCTAGCTAATAACTATCTAGATTCAAATTCAATATTTCTATGGTGTTAGTTCTATTAACAAATTCTTTGCATGGAATATTGTCATTATTTGTTGTTACGTCTTTGACGGTGAACTATTGCAATAAATATATTTTGCTCTCCGCTTCTTGTGTTAAATTAAAATATGACAGGCGGCAAATAAAACTTATCACGTGGAATTTGCTGGCATTTTCTTGGAAAATACCACGTCTGATAAGATAATAATTAATATTTACATGAACCAATAAAATTCGATTAATTTCTGATTATTTATTAATTATCTCTTAGTGAGCTGTTGATTGAAATGGAAATCGCATATAATTAATACTCATTTCTTGAAATGTTTCATAACGTAACTACATAGGTACCTTATGAATCTCACATTTCATTTCGTATAACGTACGTAAGGGTCTGGGGATACTTTTTATTAATTTTGATATGGGTTAAGCAGAATGCGTAAGTAATACTAGATTACGTTGGACGTCTTTAACCTGAAATACGAATATTTTTATAAAGGTAGACTTTCCTTTGGAATAAATATCGCGATTCATCATATTCAAGTACTTTTGGTTTGGTTACGTATGCACAAAGTATCTGCCTAAAATACCTGTATAGGTAAAAATGGGTAACATATGTACAGTTGTGCGCAAAGTACATAATAATGCAGTAAGGCAAGGGGTCTCGGGTTCGGTTCCCGGGTAGGGCAAAGTATTACTGGGTTTTTAAATAAAGTCTCAGTAGTAGCACGGAGTCTGTTAATGTGCCCGGTATATTGCAATAGGCTCACCTCCTATTACATGGGACTCATAACATAAATAGTGAAAAGTGGGTGTTACTTCTGTGTGCACCTCAGCCTACCCTTTCGGGGATAAAACACGTGATTTTATGTTATGTTCAATAGTGTCTTATTAAGGTGGACCGAATGGCAAACATCTTGCAGCGGTCGAGTATGACTATTATTGTGTATTAACAAACCTTTGTTTCGGGTCTATGTTTGACGGGTTTTGGACTGTACCATATAAGTAATAGATATATCTTCAGGACAAAAAAGGTATGATGTATGTGTTGTAGAACATCCTTAAGAGATAGGTAATTTAGTTTTTGTATTAAAATACAACAAGGGTTGCGCTAGTAAGAAGTTCAAGCCAATCGGTGATTTTATTAGACCTCTTGGATTCAGTTAGCAGTTACTCAATTTCGTGACTTGTGAGACACGTATATCAACACAATAGTGGGTCGAGTGGGCGAGTTCATTGCTAATACAAGGCACTATTCTAGACTTTGTGACCTTAGGTCAATTTCTTGCTATAACGTTACTTGTCTAGTAATTGTGTCTCTTTTCCGAATCAATCTTTATGTTTTTCGTAAGTACTTAGATAATAATTATACTGTTATAAAGGCTATCTTAATTTTATGTAAAGGAACTGTTTGTCTAGAAAGCTCATCATAGCTCACATGCACACATAGGTCAGTAATTCATTTGCTAGCCTTTCCCTCTAAAAGCTAGAGGCGCTTCATGAAGGTTCAGAAGAAAAAATATAATTTACTCATTGAACAGAACAAGCATTCTACATAAAAACTTACATCATTTGAGATCTTTACAACCTCTAAATTGTACGTACTGGCAGTGTGCGTCCAACTCATTTTTGTTCCTGGGCAGGCCGACAGGAGTTCGCGGGATCAATTCTACACATACGTTCAAGTCTGCTGCGTCGCAATTCTCCATTTCTTCCAGCTGTGCCCCACCGCCACCTGTGAAGTAAAAAATTATTAAACTCCTATTAATTATTAATTAATTAATACTAATAGCAAAATGACTCCTTTTTGTAGGATATCCTAAGGTAGATGGATGAATTGATAATGAGTCCTTGGTTTCAGTTGCCATCTGTGTACAGAGTTCCGAAATTATGTCCAAAACCGATGAGCTACAAAGTTGACGGTTCAGTATTATTCTCCAATAGATACAATCCAGTTCAGGATACGAATCGTGCGGTTACAGTAATTGGGTTAGTTCGCAGAATAATTTGAAACTAAAGTTGTGGTTGGGGACAGTTAACCAAATTATTTGTAAGGTAGGAAAGTAAAGATTATTCCAATACCTAAGCTGGTAACGATTGTATGGCTACTAAGTCGACCAATGCATAGTAGCATAAGATTTACTTTCGTCAAAAGTCATATAATTTTTATATAACAATCAATTTTTTAATCTTATAATTAGGTTGTGTAGTCACAAATAACAGGACAAATTTAATGAATATATTTAAAAAGAAATTAAAAAAATAATAAAAAAGATATGCATGACGAATTTTAAGTACATTTTAAACCTCAAAAGCTTATTCTTAATCTACAAGCGTACGTACTTCTGGTAGCCGTATACCACAATTGGACTCAGATTACTAAATAAATATTTTTTTCACATAGGTGTGATTCCATTAAAATCTCTATGAAGATAGTTAGAGGAATGAAGTCTTGTCAGAGTTTAGCACAACAATTTTCTACATTCAATACGCGCCATCTTTTTGTCCGCAATTGCTCTATTGTTATCTATTCTATCGGTTAGTATTGTTATGTTGACGTCATTGACAGACCTTCATTATGTTTGTACGACACAAATATACCTACAGCTGACCTCGTATTATGATTTGGTAAGGAAGAAAGAAAGAGTTATGACCAATGTAGATATCGATTTGAAAAAAGGTTTGGTGAAAAAGTTGCATCAAGCGATCGCTATTTTATGAAATACTAGCGACCCGCCCCGGCTTCGCACGGGTGCAATATGTATATACATACAAACCTTCCTTAAGAATCACTCTATCTATTAAAAAAAAACCGCATCAAAATCCGTTGCGTAGTTTTAAAGATCTAAGCATACATACGGACATACAGCGAAAGCGACTTTGTTTTATACTATGTATTGATAAGCACTATCCAGTAAAGTTAAGTGATTAGTACTGTGACAGATAGATTATTATTAGAATGTTTAGTAAATATAGTAGGTATGTGAAATACCTATCGTCAATTTATTTTCATAAAATTTGAAGAATGAATTAACACGAAGGTTATATGTCACAACATAAAGAGGGTAGGGCTATCATTCCCGGTTCATACAAGGTATGAATCCGTGAATCCGTGACAACAATAGAGCTGACCCGGGTTCGTTTTTCCGTTGATACGAAACAAAAGAAATCCGTGTCACATGCTTGGATGGGTTCATTAGGGAAAAACGTAAGAGCTCGGAGTAATTCGTATCCAACGGAAAATCTCAAGGTGATTAATGCCAACTCTATCACTGCAAGTTGTACCTAAGTCATAATAATTTCTTATAGTGATATAATCATTATATATCAGCCACAAGACGTAGACTGCTGACTATAGGCGTCAATAATGACCCAAAGGCCGGTTAGAAGTGATATGCATCAAGTGGCTACGTGGGTGCTTAATTAGGTTATCTGTCTTCAATAAGAAGGCTGTCAGTCATGAAATAATTGGCTTAACTCTTTGAGTACCGTCATTATAGACACAATTAAAGAAGAATAGGTTGCGGTCACCGGTGTCCTCGCGGTGTTTGGCAGTTTAAATATGACGAACAAATTATTTAAAGCAATGCAAAAGAATCATACCAAAATTGTTTAATATTAGAAACAGATAGCCTACGTTAATGCACATTTCAAGAACCAAGCCTTTTTATATTTGATGGACCGACGTTTGACCATTATCTCGTCTGGTGGTAAGCGATGATGCGGTCTACGATGGAGAACGTCGTCCCATAAGCAACCTATTCACTCGGGTCTTGAAGACGCCCATACAGACTCTGGCAAAGAATTCCACTCTTAGCACTACGTATAAGGAAGCTTGATACGAAGCGCTTCGTGCATGTAGGTGGAACATCTACCATGAATCGATGACGCTTCGCCGATTGTCTTGTGGTACGATTAAAAAATAAAAAGTGGCCTATTTAAAAATAACTCAATAAAGTAACCAATGCTATCAATTTGAACAACAATGCTAGATAATAAGATACCCCTTTCTTATAAAAGGACTAACAAAACATGTATAAAGTGTACCACTCATCTGGGACATAGTTTAGCTCACGATTCGTGTTCCTAAACGATTGTGATCCGACTTACATCTGCTACTGACATGTAGCCATCAATTAGTTACATTTTCGCTCTATTGAATATTCTAGTGAATAAATAGGCAGACTCCTAAGTAATCGAATCTCTAATTTATCCTGCATTCTACGTCAGTAAGTAGTTTGGAACTATGTTCAGTATATTGTATTAGTTTCTACAAAAATACTTGAACTCTAAAGATAAGCGCTTTCAAAATCTATCAAGTTTTAATGTTACAATCAAACATTTCCATTCCTTGTTAAAACATATGCGTAATATACCTCTATATGACTGAAACAGTGAAACTACTATAATTATTTCGATGTTTTTGCAACTGACAACGAACTCTGTATTATAACTAAACACATTCAAAGCCCTAACTCTGACAAATGTCGGTACATTACACGAGTGTGGCCCAGGGGAAATGTTTGGTGCCATGACTGAGCCGCTTATTATATCAGTTTTTATCAGCTGTCGTACGTACGGTTTACATTCGAATAAAAAACCAGCAAATGTGGATTTAACATCTTTTTCGTGTATAATTTAGCACGAGCGTCGAAAAACTCGTATCATTTGTGTGTACAAGCAAAATGTTTTATTATCTTTTAAGGGTTAAGCTGTTACAATTAAAACCAATGTTGCACTGGTAATCATAATTTTAGAACATCTGTAGACATTAACGATATAGATCACAATTGTATATCTTATCTTATACCTACAATTACCTATATCAATACATAGTATAAAACAAAGTCGCTTTCGCTGTATGTCCGTATGTATGCTTAGATCTTTAAAACTACGCAACGGATTTTGAAGCGGTTTTTTTTAATAGATAGAGTGATTATTAAGGAAGGTTTGTATGTATAATACATGCATATTGCACCCGTGCGAAACCGGGGCGGATCGCTAGTTATGTATAAAGCTAAGAAACTTGTTTGTTTATTTAAATGCATTAATCCCCGAATTTACTGATCGGATTCAAATTATTCTATTTGTTTTGGATAGTGCATTTATCAAGGAAGGCTATTAGCTATAGAACATCACGCTACGATCAATAGAAGCCGAGCAGAGCGGGTGAAACCGCGCGAGAGCAGCTAGTATATATTAAACGGTTTGAAGTTATGTATTTTAATCTAAATCTTATACAATAAGTAATACTATCAGTTATGATGATGAGAATAAAGATATCGTACATATTTATTAACATCGGTCCCGTTTTTACCATATGAATTTATTTTGTAAAATCTTAGCTTTCCAATTACAATAGGTATATGAAGCAACTCCTCGTGCCGTCATCAATGAAAAAAAATTAATAACAGATTTAGACTAGGTATAATACCTAATTATATAATTAC